AGTTTTTTTTTTTACACTTCAATTAACTTAATATAAAAATACTTTTGGAAAATATTTTATGTAAATATAATTCTGGAGCTCCTTTTTTAATTACTGTGAACACATTTCGAGTCTGAAATGCCTACTTGTGAGGCTTTTTGTATTATAAGTTTGCAACATACTTGCTAATGAAGCAGCTGGCATGGTATTCTGTTAAAAAATAAGAGCCATGAAAGCACTGACCTGCTTTCCTGTGGCTTCTCATTTTAGTACACATAATTTGGTAAAGCACTTATTGTCGTTTAGCTCAGGTTGGAATGGGCCTCAAAAAATCATCCCTTGTTTAGCACCCTGACCACTTGACTTTAAAACCTCCATGATGGGGACTCCACTAAGGCCCTGGGATATTGATTGTTTTCACTGTAAAAAATTCCTCTCATATCAAAATGAAACCTCTCTGAGTACAGCTTGTGCCCTTTGCTTGTTGTCCTCTCTGTGTGTGTCCTTGTGAAGAGAGAGAATTCATGCTTTTTGTGGCTGCCTTTTGGGAGCTGGAAAACTATGATGAGATTCTCTTGAGCCTCCTCTTCTCCAGGGTGAAAAGAGCTAACTCCTCAGGTCTTTCCCCACAGAACAGTTCTCCAGCTCTTTGATCACCTTTGTGGTCCTCCTTTGAGCCCTCTCCAATGTCTGTATGTCTTTTTTGAATGGTGCATACCAGGACTGGGCACAGTACTGCAGGTGTGGCCTGACAAGTGCTGACTGGACTGGGATGATCACAGCTCTATCTCTGTTAGTTGTGCTCCATGGATGCAGCCCAGGATCCAATCTGCCTTCCTTGCAGCAGCAGCCCACTCTGGGCTCGTGTTATCTTGTCCACCAGGGTTTCCAGGTCCCTTTCAGCAAGGCTTCTCCTCAGACAGATGGATTCTAGCCTGTCCTAGGAACTTTGGTTATGCCATCCCAGAGGCACAGCCTTGCACTTGTCTTTGTTAAGCTTCATACTGTTCTTTCTATCCCACTCTTCCAGCCTGGCCAGCTCTCCCTGCAGGATAATGTACAGGGTCATTATCTTGTAACCCTTCTGACATGTTCAATGCACCACCCAGTTTGGTGCCACCCCCAGATTTGGTGAAGGTTTTGGGATTTTCAATCCCATCATCCAGACCATTGAGGGGGATGTTAAACGGCGTGCAGCTCTATAGGGATTGGGTAGGCAGGCGTTCCTCCTGAGGTCTTGCAGGAGCAGAAACTCCCTCGTGTTTGGGTGTGAGCTCCCCCTGAAGCTGATTAAAGGAGGAGGAAGTCATCAGTGAGGGAGGAATTACAAGGAAAACTAAGCCAAGAACCAGCCTCCTTCAGGTAAGCATCAGAATTCAGAGTTTGGTAAAGGAGCCTCTGCAGCTATGAATCCTGAGTCAGCCCTTTGAGCCAGGGGCTCCCACTTGGACTCAGGAGAGTCAGAGAAGCTGAGCTCTAATTCTAGCAGGAGCTGAGTGCCAAGCTCAGCCTTTACAGAGCTGAGATATTTAAAGCTGTGCTTGCTTCTGAGAGAGGCAGTGCCTCTGACCCATCCTTAGACAGGGAGGGGGCAAGAGCTCACCATGAGTATTTAATATGATTTGGCCTTATTTTTAAAATATTTTTTCTTGATCTTGAGCCTTCAGAAGACTCTGCTAAGTTATAGTAAATTTCTCTATTTAGGGTGGAAACACTGATCTCAAATATTTGAAATTGTTTCCAATGCAGAAAAGACAGCAATGTAAGCTACTGGTGTCACTGCATTTTAGTGATCACCTGGTAAATATTGAATAGGATTCAAATTAGGCATCTTGGAACTTCTGCAACCAATCATTCCCAGTTAGCTGGATGATGTCACTCCTCCAATAAAGAATTTACTTTCTGTAATGTTATTGTTTCACTGAATTACTCATATATGGGAGACATTTTTTTCTGGTAATTTATCTCCCAAGCTTAGAATTCATTACAATTGCTCATATAATATTAGAGGTTTTGTGGACATGCCTGAGAAGGGTCTTAAACAATATGTTTACACTTGATGCTGCCTGAGAAGTAGGAAAAAAACTCACTCATTTTTTGTGCAGATGGACATCACTGTGACTGCAGTGATTTCTAATATTTGATTTTAATATTCATTGGTGAGTTGGTGAAAACAACCCTATTAGACAACTTCAACGCAGAAATAGCAGACATGCTTTTTCCTGCTTCATTCATTATCTCTCAGTAATCTCAACTGTGAAGGGAGTCAGACTCCAGACCCTTTGAAAATATAATGCAAAATCCACTTTTATTCAATGTTTTTCCTACTATACAAGATAGCCAATTCTGTGTGGCTTATGTTTTTGCTAATTAAAATTTAAATGGTCCATCCTACCTCATCAATTGTATAAAAGAGACATTTTTATTATTAAAGACATGGTAGAATCCTTACGATTTACTGTTTGTTCTCAAAACTAAATCTCCTGTGACAAAAATGCAATAATTTTGTTTCCCAAATCCAATGTTTCAATACTGTCATTCATTTAATCCATATTATAATTTCCTTAAAAATTCTAAGCTTTTTGCCCTGGCTGCCAACAGTATTCTTCCCTGTTTTCCTCTGGATTATTTTTGAAATGCAGTCACAATCACATCTATGAAATTACATATACATCTTGCTGTGTGAGACAGTCAATCCTGTCTGTCATGTATCACTTCAGAGACACCAGAGACAGTTTTGTTATCAATACTTATTGTTCCATTGACTTGAGTGAATTTAGATGAGCTTCATTGTGAGTTTATCTGATGATGGACCTCTGGTGAGGATTAGGCATAACCTATCAGCTACTGCAAATTGCATTTAGCCTTTGCAATTAGGCAGACATTAAATAAATTACTGGAGGAATTGGTTCACTGAAGGGTCTCCTCAATGGAAACAAGCTGTGCAGTCACTGAGATGGCCATCAGTCAAGCTAAGCTAGGAAAGGCAGGCTTCAGACTAATGCTCGTCTTTTTTGTCTCTGGGCAGTGAGATTTAAAATTTCTATGGAATAAAAAAAGACTAATAGCATTCTTGAGAAAGAAAATTGTGGGAATGAGAACATCAATTGTAGGAATGACTGATAAAATTATTTAATTGACACTAACATAAAGATGGATTTAGACAAAAAAGTCAGATGGGCAAGTGATGGATTAAGCTTTTCAGTATACAAAAAGGCTTTTTTTGCATCTGACTCTAGTGGAGATGAGGAGATCATTTCACTCTAATTTGACAGGAAGGTGCAAGTACTGTGGATGGAAAATCAGAATAAAAACTGCACGTTCAAAAACATTTCAAATACCATTTACAGGAACATCAAAAATAAAATTAGTCAAAGCTCACAGAATTAACACATTTTTGTAACATTTATTGAATGCAAAATTGGAACATCTCTTGATATAACTTCTGTGGGTTTTTTTTCAAATAACATAACAAAAAGAAAACATTTTGTGCACAAAGAAGCTTCATGTTCCAAAAATTACTTAGTGGAAGTTAACATCTGAAAGCTAAGGGATTTCAGTCAAAAATGCACTTTTGATAAGGTAAAGGACAATATCACTTTGCAGAAATTATATTGCTTTTTCCCCCATATCTATCTAATTTGAATTGTGAGGATCATGCAATAGCTGAGAGAACACCTTCAGCAAATGATAAAAAGTACCAAATAAAATCTGCAAAGCTGAGCTTCCCATGTATGTACATCAGCATTTAAGAATTGCATAAAATAAACTTCATCCCAGCAGTTTGTGCTCAGAGACCGAAAGACAAGGCTAAACTATTACAACCCTACTGCACCCAACAAAAGAGGGCAGGAAATGGAAATACAAGACACAGCTTCTGCTTCTAGTTTGGGTAGTGAACATTATGCTATATTAAAGTAAAAAAAAAGTTTAAACGAGTGAATGATAAAAGTGTTGTTCAAAAGTTTGCAGGGACTCTTTAGCAGTTTCTAGAAAAGGAGCTGTAAGTAGAACTTACTCTGTGCACCGTCTGTCTGTGATGTTTTCTCATTGAAAGAGAAATGAACTTGAGGGACTCGCAGAGAATAAACTGATTAGTTGTAGAGAAAGTACAATTTGGTAGGGAGGAAAAATGGAACCAATACGGGAATCTCTGCTTTGTAATTCAGTTTTACACATCCCGATGCCAGCAGCAACCACAGCTAAGGTGAGTGAACTGGTGAAACTCCGCTGCTTGTAAATGCACAGACCGGAGCTGGTCTAGTCGCTGGAGAGAGCTGGATCCCTGGCTTTTATATTTAACCCCGAAAGAAATGCTGTCAGCCACAGAGCGGCAGGAGGGACAGACTCCAGCGCTCCTCTGCTGGTGCCGGACACCGGGCACCGCTCACAGGGATGGCAGGGGGCTGTGGGTGAGCGCCGGGAGCTGCAGCGCTCGGCAGCAGGGCAGGGCAGGGCAGAGCGGTTCTTTCTCTCAGGTACCTTCTCCCAGGCACCCTCCCGTGCCCGGGTCTTTGAGCAGCGATGTGCACTCCCTGGTCCCCCCTTGTGTCTCCGAGCAGTGATGTGCACTCCCTGTCCCTCTCTGTCCCCGCTGTCCCCCTCGGCCCCGGGCACAGGGCAGGCTGACGGCTCCGCCGCAGCTCCCGCTCCCCGCGCCGCGCTCCCAGGTGCCTCTAATTGGATTGCGGTAATTTCTGCCCTTCCTAGAGCGGCGGGGAAGGGCCCGGGGGAGGCGGGGGGAGCTGTGGGCGGCTCTCGGCTCTCGGCTCCCGGCGCGGCCGCTCCGCTGCCCATAAAGCGCGGCGGGAGCGCGGCGGGGCCGCGGCCATGCAGTGAGAGCCCGCCGAGGGACCAGCCCCGCTCCGGCCTCGCCACGGCAGCTCTGCGAGGGACAGACCCCCAGCTCAAGGTACCCCGGCCCTTCTCCCGGCGGGAACCGGGCTGCCCGGCCCTGGAGCCGCTCCGCCCGCGCCCCGGGACGGGCCGAGCTGCGGTTCAACCCCGTGCGGTTTCTTGCAGATGCAGAGGTGCACCGGAGTCCTGTTCCTGTCTCTAATCCTTTGTGCCGCCCTCTCGGAAACACTCGGGCTGGTTTTCTCAGTAAGTATCCGTGTCTCAGCGAGCGAGGGACCGCCGCGAACCTCCCACGGATGCGCACTGTTCTTAGATGCAGGGGTTGTAAAGGAGACAGCACTCAAAACCATTTCGGGCTATAAACAGTTTGCCTCTTTCCCCCCCTCCCCCCCAGCTAAGAATTTCGAGATTTTAAGAATGTCGAGATTTTGAATACTAGCATTCTTGTAAAAAAATTACTATAACTAAGAATGTCTAGTTGCTAGACCGAAATGGAATGGGTGTCCCACCTGCCTCCGAAAAGGTGATGTACGTATGGACTTTTTTATGAAGAGGCTGTCATGTAAATCCAAGCAATAAAAAGAAGCATTGCTATTTGCTAACATGGCTATGAGGTGGCAAAATATAAACTTCTAGTATAAAGTTGAAATTTCTGCTTCCAAAGTGTGACTTGCAGTCATCACTTATGTGGAGTGAAACACTCAAACCACATGGATGTCAATAGCAACACTATCGACTTAGGCAGGGAAGGGGCAAGAGCTCGCCATGAATATTTACTTCAATATGATTTGCTTTACTTTTTAAATTTTTTTTTTTCTTGATTTTGAGCTTTCAGAAGACTCTTTCTGCTAAGAGAATGTCCTTTTTTGTGTAGGTCATGCAATAACATACTTGTGGTTTTTCCTTTAAGGCAAAAGACAAAAGGGGTTGGACTTTGAATAGTGCTGGTTATCTACTTGGGCCACGTAAGTGAAGCAATTCTTTTTTCATTATTTCAAAATGCAAAAATTGTGTTATTCACTTCTCTGAATACAGCAGTTTTTTCTAAGCCTGCAAGACTGAACAGACTCATTTGGGAAAACACTTGCTTACATGCCTGTCATAGAACCGAGTTGTCTTAGACCACAGCTGTTCTTTTCTAAAGAAGTGTGATGGGAGGCCTTATGTCCAGAAACACATCTGCTCACATTTGGTGCTTCTGAACTGTAATTTTCATATGACAAATACATCACCACCAGAAGTGTTAAAAAATCTTACAGCATCATAGATGTCAAGGGCAGAATGACAAAATGTGTACTTCTCCATGAATTTCAGATTTCACCCCTAAATCTTCTTACAAACTTTCACTACTTGACTTTATAAGACTAATTTTTTTTTTAATTAAAGCAAAATAAATTAAAACAGTAACTTGCAAACTCAAGACTATTAGCAGCTCACTATGTGTAAAATCAATATACAAGGTGTTCAAAATACAGGGTACTGGTTTACAGATGTAGGTAATAAATTCAGGTTTTAAGAAAAGAAATGCAGAACTAAGCTTTTCCAAATATTTGTCCTTTTGCCATTTATTCTGGTGAATGTGGCAAAATTCATCACCAGTGTTTCTATATTTTCAGTCTCAGTAGCACATAGACAAATACTACACATACTTACTCTGACATTTTTCATTCTTTTTAGCTAACAATAAGGATACATAAAAAAGAAGTTTAATGCATCTTAATTGTATTAACTGGTTCTGTAAATGCCTGGAAGTATATTTGCCCAAAGCACATCTAAGCAAATTGGAAAAAATACTGTGGGGAAATGATCTTGTCAAAGAGTTCTATTTTACATCTAGGATTGGATAGTAGGGATCATCCTTTGTTGCAGGTTATGTTCGTCAGCTTTTACTGAGGTCATATTGATAAGCAGCAGGTCATATTGATAAGCTTTTACTGACTTAAATAACTCCTCTGATTTTTAATTTATTTATCAGATGCAGTAGATAACCACAGATCTTTTAATGACAAGCATGGTTTCACTGGTAAACGTGAAACACCACCTGAAGAGGATATTAAAGCAGGTAATGAAATCTGGAAACAAGCATTTTAAATTTGTTTTTTATGTTAAGTAATTTATTTACTATTGAATTTACTACTGAAATTACTGTTGAATTTATTGAATAATTTACTATGGAACTGACTATTTGGATACAAAGCTATTTCTGTATTTCAACAGAAATCCTAATAAACATATGAAAGGAAGAAAAATGACATTTGGCCACTCAATGTGATCTTCGTATGTCATAGATTACAATATCTAAGTGATTAGGAAAATGTACCATAATTTTGTTACTCTAAATGTGTAATAGGTCATATTGTTTTGGAAAAACTTTGGTTTTTTTCTCTTTTCATATGTTAAAGTAAGTAAGTATTTCAAATGTCACTGTAGCCACTCCAGAATTAATTGGTTTTTGGCAAAGAAGAGAGTCCATAAAGGTGTATTTCAGTAATGAAGGCTGTAGAAAATACAAACTCCCAAGATTTCCTATGGTTAAGCAAGGTGGCTTATCTTCATTAAAAGACTGAGAACCTGGTCACAACTGAAGTCAAAATGCTCAGATGTTTCATGTGCCAGAATTTAGTAAATGGCAATGAAAACGGTGCAGCCTTGTTGTGGATTTGTCATCCAAAGCTGGGCCTCTAAAATACAAATATATGTCTAGACTCCCTTATGAAGAGAGGCTGACAATTTTTAGGCTTTATTTTGAACACCTATTTCAGGATAAGGCGCAGAAACTTCTAGAAAAACCTGTTTTATCTCCTGAGGAGAAACGAAACCTGCTGCAGACATCTCAAGCGAGCTGGGATGAATCTCATCCTTAGGCTGACAAAAGGGACCACAGTCCTTACTGAGTGCATTTATCACTGCAATAGTGGGGGCAAAACAGAGGGTTTGGAGCCTATTTTAAATAACACCCAGAACAGTGCAAATGGAGTTAACACTAAATAAGTTCATAAATAAAGGACATGTGCTTAATTACAATCTCATACATACATACTTCATAAAGAGAAGAGAAACATTAATGCATTTCTTAATTTTTAACACCCTCTGAAGACTGTCTGTTCAGTTCTGGCACAGCTACACAGTGGGGCTTTGGGGTTTGTGTGTGTAGTATTTTTTTTTTGTGCTGTGCTTTAAGTGGGGTTTTTTTGTTTGTTTTTTTAAGGAAAAGAATCCAACCCTACTGTTTCAAATACCAGAGTTAAAACAATATATGGCTGGTAAAAGCCAATGTAAAAGTAAAGGATTTGTAATCCAGCAGTAGAGATCACATTGCAACATGGTGCCATTTGTGCATATCCCAGGTCCCTTACAGGAATATGAACTTATGGGTTTATGGAATTCTCTTCCTGGGTGCTGTTGAGCCTCCACAATTGCAGATAAACGCAACCAAACTTGACAGGGTGAGACTTCAAAATTACACAGCTGCCTCTGTTATGAACTTCATTCTCTTCCCTCACCAAATATTTCTTTGAAGCTGAAGTTTATTACAGATTTCTACAATTACAGAGTTCCTACCCAAAGGAGATTTAAATATGTATATATCTAATGCATAAGAAATGCATAAGGTAATCAGTATATTAACTGAAAATGAAGGCTTTCTCCTGATTATTTGCAAAAGCCCCTTGTAAGGCAATATATGCACATATTATTTTATTAATGTGAAAGAATTTCTGCAAAGGACTGTGCTCTCCTTGAAGCAATACTGCAAAATTCAAAAGCCCTCCAGATAACCTACAAAAATTAGTAAGCTGTATTAGGGACTGAACATTAGGTCCAGGAAAAACAAAAATACAATAATCTATGAGCATAATTGGTCAAATCTTCAAGTTGCAAGATCATAATGGTTTGTTTACTGAAATCTGCAAGTTATCCACTATGCAGAATTAAGGTAAATAGCAGAGCAATACATAAGTACGATATTTCCAAGTTATGGAGGAAAAATATTTATCCAATAAATTTCACATGGATAAAAAAAGTCTTGAAAAAATGTGACCAATATAATAATAACAAAATTCATAACAGGTTAGGTGGGAATAAAAGCTAAGGAAAAATTCAAATTAAAGAGTATTATTAATGCAAATAATATCTTTGTGTGAGTTCAAAGGCTGGAAGACAAGATTTTTAGGTGCAAACATATTAAATGCATTCTTAAATGCTTATTCTCGTTTCACCAGAAACCTTTGTGTCCCTTGCAACTCTCATCAATGTTCTAAATTTGTGCTACAGAGCTCAGTCTGCCTTCTGACCCATCTGATAATGTTTTCAGTGATGTAATAATGGACTGTTGGTTCTGGTACCCACATCTGTGTGCAGAGAGTTAAACATCTTGGGGAAATTACTTAACATTCGTTCTTAATAGACAGCAGTTCTCCATCCTCCTAAAAATAGCAAGGTGTCTTCCTCCAACTCCTGGCTGATGTTTTTTTCTCTCATTTACAGATGCAGAAAGAATCCTTCTCAAAAGTGCAATAACAAGCCCCCATTAGGCCATTAAAACAGCATCCAAAAGCTATTTTCACAAGCTCGAAGACAAGTGTATTGGATTAGATACCTATGTGAAAACAGCTTTCTGGGCTTGTAGAAAAACACCCAGGCCTAGGTTTTGGGCCACAAATCACTTCTACATAATTTGAAAGGCTTATTTGGAACAAAGTCAGGCTACATGAATGAACTTTTAACTGTTCAGTAAGGCTGATGAATTTGTTTGCTAAGTTTGAAATTTAACCCATTCCTGCAGGCTCAGGTGGAGACAAGAGAGAGAGCTGGGGACAGAGGATAATTCTCTTCTGCAAGAGATCTCTTAAGGCCTAGAGACCACAACCATCAAGGTGTCAAAGCAGCTGCCATGCAGCAATGGCATACAAAGCTGGGTGATTTTGATTCTGAGAATTGCAGTTACCTATCATATAGGGGCTTTGCCCTCCCATGAAAGGAGGTTTTCCAGCAAGGATTTTAAGGAAAAAGGAATTTCAGATAGTTTTGGTGGTTTTTTCCCCTCCTCAGAGTACTCATTAACTTAACCACAGAATCTCATATGATGTGTTTGAACCATGTTAACTGTGAGTAACAGGCAGCTTGTTTCACAGGGAGCCTTGGGAGACCCCTGGCTGATGAAAACATTGTGCGCACAGTAATTGAATTTTTGACCTACTTGCATCTGAAAGGTTAGTGAATAACTTTTACTCTTTCACAGTTTCTGGTAAGAAATTTGCTGAGGAGGCAAGACTATGCCTAAGGTACAAATCTGCAGCAGATTTAAATGTGCAAGACTTGCAACAACACCTCTGGCATCACTCTCATGCACAGAGCTCAGGTGATCCTGAAAAATTGCAGCCCAGTGCAGATCTGATGCAGCAGAGTTCTGATACCATCCTGAAAAATTGCAGCTCAGTGCAGATCTGACATTGCAGAGTTCTGATACCATCCCATCACTTGTTAGTGCCAAAAGAAACACATTTCTCTTTTTGCATGTATTCTACAATAAAGTTGCAAGACAAAATTGCAACAATGCTGAGCTGAACGTTGGCAAAGAGCTCAGACTGCTCTGGAGTAAAAGCTCTGTACAGCCTCACAGTTGTGATGAGAGTTGTAATGCTGAGCTCACAGCTGGCTCTGTAAGAATGGTAACTTTACTATGGAATTTATCTCCTTCTGAGTTTTCATTCATTTTGCTTTAAAAAAGCCTAAACAAACACAATATTCAGCTTTTAAAAACCTCTTCAGCTTTTCTAAAACTGTCTACAAAATGTATGAAGCCATTGTAGATTGCTGCAAAGAAACCAACAGGTAGAAAAAGGTTATTCTACTTCAAACGTTCGAGGATTTTTTCTGTCTCAAAAGGAGACAATTCAATAAATCAGTAACTTCCATGTTCTTACTCTTGTGTACAACAAATTATAAGCAACTTTGTGGCAAGTCTATGCTGTGGGACTGTGTGTACATTTGTGCTTTAATTTCTTTATTAAAAGAGACTTTCAACAGATCAGTTCATTTTCTGCATACCTGGGATGCTTTTTACTCATTGTTCTCTGAATTATTTGTATCTACCCAAGGAAAATAATTCTCATTACTGAAAATGTGAACCCAGTGTTTATTGAATTGAGTTTGCATTTGAAAACAAAACCTCTGTATAGCTAGTCCTAAGGGCCTGAAATAATTCAAGCACATATTTGAAGCAGATTATTAGCATATGTATTTACTGTGGACAAAGTAGCTGTTTGCTGTACCACTGTGAAGAAAGAGCCCAAAACTCTCCTTTACTCTGCTGTGTGAGCCTAGGAATTAAAATCAATATTTGGACACAGCAAAAAAGGGGTAAAATAACCTCAATCACACACCTTCTGCATAGGCTAAAAGCTGCTAAATCAGACAAGAAAATAAAAAGCATCTCACAGAAATACAAATTACTTCTTCCCTGCAACAAATGAGCTTAAAAGGCTCCCTTCTTATGATGGTAATGACAAACAGTTGTTTTTATTCAGAAAAGGTGGTGTTATTACCATGTCCTCATGAAAAACAAAAAATTAATCTGCAGATCTGCTTTTTGCAGACATAGTTCTTGTAGTCTCAGGTTGCAATAGACACAGAATGTTGTCACATATTATCTCTTAACAATATTTATTGGAAAGGCTTAGTACAAACTCTTACACAAACCCACATCTGTAAATTAAGCAGGTGAATACCATATTTTTTAATGATAGAAATCCTTCAACAAATTTGCTTCAATGAAACCTTACTGCATTAAATACATTGGTTTAGAGATGTTCCTTGGTGGGGGAAGGGGGAAAAGCCTCACTCATGGGATTCAGATTCAGGCAATAGTGATCCAGATTAGATATACATTTTAATCTGCATGAAAAAGGCAATGTTTTTACTGCTAAGAAGTACCTTGGTAATAACTAAAAGGGGCCTTCATCTTTTTCTCTTGGAAATTATTCCCTCCAGCTTTAAGTGCTTCTCATAAAGAGCAACATGTAGAATGGCAGCTGTAATTGGATAATATTAAGTCTTATGAGATGCTGGGATCCAGAAATATCAATTGACATAATAAAATTAATATAATTGTTGTTCTGTCACTGCTGTTTCTAAAATGTTGGAATTGTATCAGGAAGATATTATTGACATTTGAAAGAAAAAAACCTCAGTATTTTATAAATTAAAATATGACAAGTTCAAAGATTTGTCTTTTATAATTGAGAAAAATATTACTAACATTATATATTACTGAAACTGGATTTCATTACTTAATTGCTAAGATAAATATGCGTATTTACATATGTGTTAATTACCTTTCTTTCCTGTTTTTCAGAGGTGGGAGCACTTGACAAGCTACCTACACCAGAGGAAATGAACCAGTCTTGAAAAATTCATTTTTATTTCGTTGCAGTGTAGATTTAGACTGAATTCTAAACAAAAGACCAAAATGACCTGAAGTTAAGAAGTATGGTTTGCATTTATTTGATAAATGGTAAACAGCATTCTGCCCTCTGGTTGGTTTGTTGGATTAGTTTTTGCTTTTTTTTTTTTTTGTTCCATCCCTCTCCTGCAATGTCATTGTGTATGATTTTGCTTTGGTAATTTTTTTCTGTACGTAAATGATAAAATAAAAATAAAGAGCAAGGAAGTTGTTTCATTTTAAAATTATGTACATACCAGCACACAATGCACAGAAAGCATGGGGTAAATTGTAAGATTACACTGCTTCTCTACTCTGCAATATTAGAGCAGAATAAAACATATACACTGTATATTGGGTACTTTAAATAACAGAAAAACAACTTCAGAGTGCTGCCATGCAGAATCATTTTAAGTCCCAGATCTGTCTATACCTCTGTGCTTCAAGGAAACATTACTCCCTGTTCCTATTTTCACAGATGTGACATAAACTCCTGTTCACAATAAATTTCACATTATTCACCTGTACTCCATTGGCTGGAACATACCTTGATGCAATGCAGATTTAAGTGTTCTGCGCAGGTTTACACAAATCCTTTGTGTAGGATTCCATGTCATTGAGACATGGGGCTGCAATCTTAATGAAGAAAAGCTCCTGGCTGCTACCAGATTAAAAATATACTTGGTGAGCTGCTTCATTCTGAGTCCAGCAAAGCATTTGGGTCCATGTTTAATCCATGCAAAACAGCTTTGATGTGCTGGACCAGGATGCTAGGCCTGCACACAATAAATGTCAGATCAAGACTGAGGAAAGGTTTGAGAGGTTACAGAACCTTAGAAAGGTTTTTCATACTCAGATGACTTTCAGCCTCTGCACAGTGCAATGAAATATCATCCTTTCACAATGCTGACGTGCACTGGAGTGCACAGACTGACAGAAATTTTGCAGACCTTTATTATCTGATCTGTTTTTCACTTTTAGCATAGCAGAATTCTAAAAGCCAAGGCACCATTGTGTGCTTTGTACCCAGCCAGGCATGCCACCCTGTCACTCAGGCTGTGCTCCTCCTGTGATAATCACTCAGCCTCTGATCTCATGTCTCATGTTTTCACTTTCCAAAGTGTCAAAATATACTTCATCCCAGACCCAGTGAGCTTCTGAGCAAACCCTTCACACTATGTTTTACTGGATTTCTCTTTGTTTTTTCAGAGCAACGAAAGAAGTATACACTGCTAATATACATGCTGCTAGTTCAACATTATTTGGCAAATTTGTGGGCTTTCCAAAATGTGAAAAAGGAATAGAGGGAAATTTAACCTCTGTACATTAGTATAGCTCAGTAAGCCCAAACTCTCATTTCCTCTAATAAGGTCCACACTTCTCACATAACCTTGAAATAACCTCACTAAAATTAAGAGGTTTTCTTTTCATTGACTTCCATGGACTTTGGCTCATTGACTGCTAAAATCCAGGATCTATTTGAAGAACTCAGAAGTAATCCATCTCTGGCAAAGCAGCTTAATCTATGATCAAATAAAAGGAATTTCATTTTAGCATTGAATTTCTTTCCTTTTCAAAAAGAATAAGAAATTAGAAATAATGGGATAGAATTAGAAAGAGTTATTACTTTGATCCAATTAGTATACCTTCAGCTCCTTAGAGTTGGAGTCATCCTGTTAGAATGGTCATTCAAAATTCTGAAATTTGAGACTATTTGAAACAGTGGAAAACTCATAGGATCAGGAAGATTTACAGCACTGTCTAAGCAGGGAGGCTCACAAGGTTTGACATTGTGCTGCACTGTAATACATATATATTATAGAAACCAGATTATTATAAACTACCAAAAGCAGTCCACATACTTTCATTTAATAATTTCTGCATTCAAACACATATTGATAATATTCTGAAATAGAGACAGGTAAAATTTTCACCTTGTTTTTTCACCCTTGTAATGCCTCTTATCTTTGCAAATATGAAGGGGGGAAACCACAGTAAGGAGTTCTTCTGGATCAATTTTTCTGGATCAATTTCACAATTTCAGTAACATTATTATTTTATTAACACTCAGTTTATTTAAATTATGTCTTAAATCACTTCCTCTCAAACAAAAGTTCTGAAAATATTTGGAGTAATATCTCCATGATGAACCTCTTGGACAAACACCTGATAAAAATGTCCAATGTCCTTTAATCCACAATTTGAAAACAATAAGTTTCAGTGGGGCAAATGGACAATAAAAGAATCCTGCATTTCAGTAGAAAATAAGAATTAAAAAATCCCATTTCACATCTCATAGTATCATTTATTGCTTCTTTGCATATATTCTATTCCATTGTTGTGTAGGATTAGCTCAAATTTATATTTACACTACAGAAAAAAGCCAAATAAAAACCCCAAAAGCATAAACATTTCTTGTAATGTTTGCCAGTGATATGAAATTACCCTTCATGCAAATTTAACTCTGACAATGAACAGAAGGCTTGCATGATGCTGAATGGCTGGACAATAAAATGGAAGATGAGATTAAATGCTGATGCAAGCAAATTACATACGCAGAGAAAAACAACTCTAATTTTACATACACATGCTGATGCTCCAAATTATGCCGGGAAATACAACTCAGACTCATTGGACACGGTCCTCTAAAAATGTTCTTTTAAACCTCAACAGTGGATAGAAAGCCAAAGGGAATAGTGGGAATCACAATGAAAATATACCATTCCCAATTTTGATACCAACAGCAGTTCTGGAGAACTTTTTCACTGCAGAAAAAAGAATCACTGTCAGGGCAGAAAAAACACAGGGAAAAGTGAGAAATATTTTCACAGTGATTTTCATACACAGAGAAACTAAATAGGTGGGACATGAGAATCTTAAATGTTGTGCTAAAAGTGCTTTTTCTTGTAACCCAAGATATAATGATGAAATGCCAAATGATGAGAAAATTATCAAGTAACACTTTTAAACTCCACACCCAGAAAAACCCAGAAGGCTTTTCCATACATCTCCTGATGAAATTGTGGCACAGGGCTTTGTGGAAGCCATAGGTTCTGAAATAGTTATATGCATGGAAGAAAAGTCCTTCAAGTTCTAAATGTTTAATTAATTTTTTCAGACCAAATTAGGGACATGAGAGCACAGAGTTATAAAACAACCCTTAGAACCTGATCCAGGGATTAATTAAACAGGACTCCTTCAGCTGCACAGCGTTTGATGCCAGTTTACAACAGAAACATGGAATTCAGATATATTTGGCTAAAAATTCTGGAGAACTACTGAATTCTGATCACTACCTATAACAAAGAACCCTATAATTTTGTACAATGTTTCACCTACCTGCCTGGTAGTCTCATTAAGCCTTGTTTGAATGCAAATCAGTTCAGCATAAAAGGGAGAATTTCTGGTGGCACAGCTGGCACAGAAGAGTCTATTCAGACTAGGAAGCCACCAGGGAGCTACAGGATACTTGTATTTTCCCACCTGTCTGCTCATGGAAAGGTCAGACTGCAACATTAGCATAGAAAAATTAGGTAGGACTCAGAGCACTGAGGATGTTTGATGGGGCCTGATGTTGGGGTTGCCAGAATCCTGTTTCCAGGTTTGATGTTACCAGGGTTCAAACCACAGCTCCTTTTGCCTGAGGCCAGAGAGAAGCTGGGTGTGAGTCCATTCACAAAGGACTCTGACACATCCTCAAGTTCTCTTTTGTGTTTCCAAAGAGATGAGGAGACATGATATGAGATAGCATGTGAAGAAACACATTAATAACTCCCCAAAAAAGTGGCAAAAGTATTCTAAAATTATTTCAGGATATGTGACACAAAATGGAAGCAAGTTAGAGAAGTATTTTGCAGTTTGTCCAGAATGCAGATTACCCCAGGAATTTTCTAACTTTAAAAGGGTTAAAAGAAAGTTTAGACTCAAGTGTTATTAGCAGAACAATTTTTCACAGAGTACATTAATGGTGCAGTACTTCTGTCACTATTTTGTGTTCCATCACTTATTTTTAAATAAATGCAAATGCTAATTCTGATACCTAATTGTATGAGGACAGAGTGTGACCCAGCCGTAGAAAACTACACCTCACTGATCCCTTTACTACCCAGATTCAGGAGCTGGGTGTACAAATAGCAAGTTGTTAGGATTTTTATTGCCTACAGCACTGGACATTTGTCAATGCATGTGCCACACACAGAACCTCCCAGAGGTGAGCTGTGAAAAGCCAGAGCTGAACTGAAAATGAGAATTATTTTATCGCCTTGCTTGTAAGGGAGCAAAAACAGTATAGAATAAAATAATTCCCTAAAACTTTATCAAATTCCCTTGAGATTCCCCTTATGCATTTCTAATTTAATTGATCTCCACAGATTATTTTCTAATTAAGTATATATAAACTATACAGCCTTTCTGAGTGCTAGGAGACATGAGTCTCCTACAGAATGTCTGCCAGGGGAGAAATTCTAAAATACCTGTTACCATTCAGATTGGATTTTTTTTCGTTTCTGAAATAAATGTTGCCTATGTATCACTCACCAACACAAATGGAATTAATTCAGAATGTAATGCTTCTATAATTTCCCCTTCAAAATGTTCATATTGCATTTCATTGAAATTATTCCATTCCATTAAAAATCATTCTACTGGAAAATAATTGATCAGATTTATGCACATCATGGCTATTATTTACATTTATCAATATCAAAGCTAGCATTTCTTGACAAAATCTAAAACTGATGCTTTAATTATTTACATGAATATAAGCTCCTATGTCTTACTTTAGGAGTATTCTCTGCTCACTATTTATTCAGATGACAGCACAGGGGAATCACACTCTGCTTCCCTAAGATCTTTCTGCAATTTGATTATGTTACCTGATTCTTCTCCATCTTCTGATCTAAAAGATAGTAGATTTAGGAATCATTAGCTTTCTGATGGTTTTCATATCTATTATTCTCTGCAGCAATTAAAAGTAAAGTAATAAAGTATTCTACTTAAAGTATTGTCCAAAGGTTTCTCTGAGAATTTGATGCATCTTTTCTGCAAATCAGAGTTTGAGGACACTTGGATTAACTGCTGCCAGGGCTCTCCTGGGCACTCTGGGCTCTGCAAATGAAGAGGGCAGTTCTGAAAAATGAAATTTGCATCTGCTCCTGCTAGCAGAGCGTGGGTGCTGGCTCTGAATCC